AAATATTTACAACCAATCGAAACAGTGCAATCAATTTTGAAATATCTAGAAAAGTATTGACCCAATACAAACTGACAAAAACATACGACACATCAAAATAAGTTAAAAACAAAACTTTGCAAAAAGACTCATAGCAAGATACAGAAGCAAAATAAAAAGTTAATAGGAAAGCACAACTGAAAAAGGCTAAAGAATCATAATAAATGAAGTTTTGATAATTAATATTATATTCTAAAGGTTATTGCAACAACTAATTATCTTACTCTCGCTGGTAGGATTGAAATTTTCCTCACCTTATTAACTGCATCAATAACTTTTTACTAAAAGTAACTTCTCTGGTAACTTTTTTTTTCATTGCAATCTATGATAATTCTTAACTATATGCTTGAGAGTTGAGACACGCTTTTATATGAACGTGTAATAGAGTCATAAGAAGCTTTAGACGATCTGTAGAGGTTGGAAGAAAGGAGAAAATTAACTAATAAAGATCACACGTCAACATTTTAAAGTCAAAAGAGGACCACCATAAAGGGGAAAGATTTTGCCTTGGATACAAATAAATAAATTCAAACTAATTACAAAGGTAACTATTTTTTTTTGGTAACTATGAGCCCGTTTAGTTCGCTGATTTGAATTTTTAATTCGAGTTAAGATGCACTTTTATGAGATAGCTTTTTATTGTAGTGAAAAAGTTATATGTGTCTGTTTCTGAGAGTTTTTTAGCGTAATAAAACTCGAATTGGTGAAATGAGCGGGGTCTATATATATTTGGTAAAAACAAAGTGACTATTTTTTGGTACAGGTATTTTTTTTTTCTTTACAATCCAGGAGCATATTTGGAATGATCTTTTTTTTTTTGTTCCCTCTTTTTATGTTATTTTTTCTTAAACCTTTTTCTGTAATAATAATAAAAAAATCAATTGAGTATTTTTTTTTTTCAAAAGAAAAAACATCTATAATGGAAAATGAGAGTGATTCTATATGAAGATCATTAATGCTCTTAATATAAGACTTTTCTTTTTGAGGCGAGAAAAACTCTATCTATCAGCCATGGCGCATTTGATATTTTGCAGCATTGAAATGCTTTTGATATTTTTATTAATGCATTTTTTGCTATTTTAACGGCCACATAATAATTCGATTTTATGGGAATTTCATATGGATGGTCAATTTATATGGTTTTTTATTTTTCTTATTTAGAAGTAATTCTTAGTGAATGATTATATGATTGTAGTAATTTATATGCAGTGACGAGTTCGGGTTGATTACCCTAGGGAAGATCTGGAAGATGTGCTAAAGCTTAATTTATGGGGAAGGAAATGACATGTTTAATTGATGGTTTAAGTTTTTTTACCATGATTTATATATTATTTTGCTATGTATGAGGTTTAATTAATACGGGAATATCTGATTAAATAGTCCCATCAACTCTATGTTCTCATACTAAAAGAGTGGGTTCTTTCCATGAAAAACCCAAAATTTTTAATTTCAAAACTACATAATTTTTGCCTAAAACCTCTTGATCTAGTAGCGCTGGTGAGATTTCGGTAGAAGTTACGGGTTTAATCTCGTGTTGTATAAAAAAAAATTATATAATTTTTTATTTTTACCCTTAAAAGAGGAATTAGATACAAGTCTCGTATAAAAAAGATAAATAAGTTCCCTAAAAAAAGGGAGGGAGAGAAAGAGGCGGAAAAAAAATGGAGTTAGCTATTAGAGTTTTAGGATATCTATGGGTATTTTAATCCTTTCAATTTGTTATTAAAATATATAAAGGGCAGAGATTTTTAAAAGGGTAAAAGTAAAACTCCTTAACTGAAAATTTAAGGATCAATATGTGCAATTTTCTCTAAATTAGCACAAGCAAGAAGACCAACCTTTTTCTAGTAGTACATTGTGCGTTTGGTAAAAAGGCACTAGGAAGAGCCAGCCTTTTTCTTTCTGCTTTTTTTTTCTTTTCTTTTTTTTTTTTCAATTGAATAGCAGCCATTTTTTTTCCCTTTCCTTCATAAAATAAAATAAACAAGTGCAATGCAGCCATCGTTTATTGGCACATCAAGCAAACAATATCTATGATTTGGTTATCACTGGCCTAACATCAAGAGCTGAATGTAACCTTTATTATTACAAACTTTCTTTTCTATCGAAAAAAGTGTGGGAAGAAGTGATCAAACCTTAACTAAGCGTGATCAAATAATCAACTTTCACACGCTAAAAATCATCCGTCTAATTGAACTATAACAACTTGAATAACGTGTTACTAACATTGTTGTGAAGTCGGTGATTAAATAGTAGTGTCGAGTGCTTCCACCATCAAACTCGAAGCTAAAACCTTTCATCTACCAAATCACTTGAGAATAAAACCAATGTCATTAGATTACCACCTCGGTCGTCCTCTTTAGCATTATAATTTTTTTTTCCCTTTCAGCTATAGTAAGCAATCTCGGGGACCACCGAGTATGTGAAAAGAGCCTGAAATAGTCTCTCATTAACCATCCAACAAGTTTTCACTTCCCTCCATCCCGTGGGGTCTACGGAGGCCCACTTAATTTCTCACAAGAGGCAGGACAGCAACGTGCGAGTGTGGAGTATCGAACCTTAAGAGGATGGTCAAAAGAGACCTAATAAAGGCGTTCTTACCACTACACCATGACCCTCGGTGGTTTAGCATTATAATTAATCCTTGGACCCTCTTACTCCTATAATTGAATTATTTATATTTTCAGAGTCATTGTTCTCTGAGGAATTCATTCCGCTTACGATCATGAGTTTTATAAACTATAATTACATAGAAAAGCAGTTGATGAGGGCCACAATAGGATTTTTCTTTTTGTCGAAAAAAAAAAAAAAAGAAGAAGAAGGAAATATCAAAATAAATAGATAAACAAATTAAGCAGGCGTGTTTTGATTAGCCCCGTAGAATGCAAGTTTCAGGCCGAAAAAAGCAAATATGCGTTTGGTGGTTGTTATCATTATATCTTATCCCCTTCTTCTCCTTCATTCTCTTGTTCTGACCCCAGACTTTGTCACTCTTTGTTTCCTCACTTTTTTTTTTTTTTTTTTTTTTTTTTTTTGGCTACATTACCAAATAACAGTAACATTCACTGCTTCACATAATTATCACTACTCCATTCTCTTCCTTTTAGGGAAAAATAATCATTTTTGACAAATAAATTACATCATGGTTTTCTGGCATTTTTACTAATTTACCATTAATATTACTAAGCAAAGGGCACCACCAGAGCCATTTTTACTTTTTACATCACAAAGAAAATCACTTTAATGATTTTCTTTTTCTAAGTCCAGATCATATTTACATATAGTACTCCAATATTTCTATTAATAGCTGAGAAAAAATACTGAAGAGAATCGTCATTCTTCTTACAACTAATATCTGATTATTTGTTTAATTATGTTCTTTTTTTTGAAAATTTTGCAGTAGGATAATTAAGCCGTTAGTTTTTATCGAATTTTGTTAAATTCATATATCTTTTATGATATAGTTCTGACGAAGTATGATGGTTCGTAACTATGCTATAATTAAAGGAGTTATTTTATTTTATTTTATTGTTTTTACCCTAATCTATTAAAGAATTCTTGGTGTTTTCTTGTTGGTTGGTTAAATATTAGACTTGGATACTCATACTATAGGGCCATATACACCAAATAAGTTGGAAAAAATAGTCCTTTCCAATGGGACATAGAGGAGATGTTTCTTTGACCCTAGAAACTACTATTTTTTTTTTTTCATTCCACATAATCCACTAGATATCTCTCCTATAATCTGCCAAATAGAATCCAAAGCTAGTTTACTATTTGCTATTTAATTTCTTCCTCTGAGGCTGCAATTACAAAGACTAATGTTGATATCTATCACTCATTTTAGATTATTTTGAGTCAACTACTTTGCTTATCTTAAAATTATGTCCACCAAATTGGACGGCCCTCATTAACGTCAACCGTAAAGACTTTCTACTTTGTGCGCATTACTACTTCTGAAAACTAATATTAGAAAAATTAGGCTCCATTTGTGTCGCTAGTTCGAATCACGACTCAAATTTTGTTATAGTGTTTTTTCTTATAAAAATTTAAATTTAACTTTTTTCTGTTATAGTATTTTCTCCCACATAAACTCGAACGAGTGAACAGAGCGAACAAAGCCTTAGATTATTAGATCACTTATAGGTTATACATAGGTCAAATACATTAATTTTTATTTGGGTAAGGATATCCTTTTTCGCAGTTGCAGGCTTATAACATGGACTAAAATACCAAAATAACCATCATACAAAAAAATAATAATAATAAACAAAAGAAAAGGAATTATCGAAAAAAAAAATCACTGGCTTTTTTGCTTCTTGCTCTTCCTCTCTTTTGGTACCTTTCCTTACCGTAAACATGAACTGATCATAAACAATATGACAATCTTGAAAGCATTATTGATCATAAGGTCTTACAATAAGATCAAACAAGATCTTCCCTAAACTTGCGAATTTGATGTATACTGTTTTTTAGTTTAGGGGGAAAAAAAAAAGAAGATGAAAAATAAGCAAAAGTAAAAAAGCAAAATGAGGAGTAATTAGGACAAGTTATCAAAAATGTCTCTAGCTCCTGCTTTCTCTTTTCGTAACCTTTTTTCTTAATTACCATATTGTGTAGGGCACAATGAGAGAGAGAGAGAGAGAGAGAGAGAGAGAGAGAGAGAGAGAGAGAAAGAGAAAGAGAACATAAACAAGAAGTGATAAACAATATGAGACCTTAAGCAAAATTATAAACAAGAAGTGACAAACAATATGAGACCTTAAGCAAAATTTTTCTAAAACCAAAAACACATGCAAATATACAGATTCACAAAGAGCAAACATATTTTCCCTTTCCTATATATCTTCTAAATGACTCTTTTTCTCTATATATAACATTAAAAAAAAAAAGAAAAAAGAAAAGACACACACCCATATAAGAAATTATAAATTAAAAAAAAAAGAACAAGCAAAACTATATCAGTCGTGTTGATCGACCACATCAACGGTGGCGGCGCAAGACAAACACCTTCTAAAAATCCCAAACAAAGCAGCATAAGAGATCTCCTTCACTTTCCCAAGAAACAAACACCTCTTCTTCTTCTTGTTCTTCTTATTAGAAATATTATTATCACGTCCTCTATTAGACGACTTCTTCTTCTTCTTCTTCTTTTCCTTTTCCGCATGATCATCACGATCATGATCATCATCAGCCAACTTAGGGTTGAGATTAACTCTGCAGCCAAAGCATTTCTGAGCGTTCTTCTTCTTCTTCTGATCATCATGATCTTCTTCCCTTGAGAACTTGTAGCTGCGGAGGTACATTTGCCTGCATGAGATGCTGTCCACCACCCTCGGGTGCCCGAACCGGACGGCGGCCCCGGTGGTGGCGGAGGGCTTGCAGCCGTGGGAGCTGACGGAGCGGACGAACTCGGCGTCGGACTCCGGCCACTTGTAGAGGTTCACGTAGGTGGCGCGCACCGGCACGCGCGGGTCACGTGCGTCGTTGACGCAGTTTGATATGCAAACTGAGCTCATAATACTATTTTGATCTTTCTTTCTTTCTTCTTCTTCTTCTTGATCTTTTCTATGTAGTTTTTGAGTTTGAGACTCTCTTTGTAGAGGGTTAAGAGTTTTGGGGCCTTTTGAGTATATGGGGTTATTATAAAGTGGGACAAGTTGGACAAGTAAAAAATAAAAATAAAATAAAAATTGGAATGCCCAAAAAAAAAAGAAAGAGAAAAAGGACAGAGGAAGCTTAAATTGCAAGAAAAGGTATACAGAGAGAGAGAGAGAGAGAGAGAGAGAGAGAGAAAGAGAGAGAGAGAGAGAGAGAGAGAGAGAGAGAGAGAGAGTGGGAGGGCCAAGATTGTAAGGTTTGGTCTAGTGGAAATATGTATCAAATGTTATAATGTGTTGTATATATAGAGAGAATGATTTGGTATAATTAGTAATGACTGTGTTTTCCCCTTTGTATGCGCTGTTAGGCATGGATTAGAATATGGCTCAAATATTCCTACATAAAGAGAGGAAAAAACATGAAAACCCTTTGTTGTGCTAGTACATATATCTAAAAAAAATATTTTATAACTAGTACTATATGTCGTTCTGTGCAATTTGTACAATTAAATCTTCACTAAATTCTGTTAGTTTTACATATAGTTTAGTATTGGAAAATTATAGGGTGTCGAGGTTTTAAACTTCGAAAGCTGATTTTTTTAGTAACCAATGAAAATTGGACTTTTTAAAGATTTTAAGTTCATAAATCTTGACAAATTAATCACTCAACTTATAAGTTGAGTGACTTCTTACCCTTTTTAGTAACCAATGTTTATATTTCAATAACTTGAGACTTTTTACCCTTTCGTTTTAAGAGATTGGAAAAATTTCGAGTAAAAGTGTATAAATATATATATATATATATATATTTATATAACAAAGGTCCTCAAGTTTAACACGTGTTAGTTGTGCATAATGTAGTTTCCACTTCACTTGTGGATAATTACATGCGCACTATCTACTTTTTATTTATCTAGTATATGTTTATGAATATATGTGTGTGTGTATTCTTTTTCTGTTACAACCTTCGTAGCAGGTTCTAGGCGGTGAAAGGTGTGCCCCATCAGTATAATTGGATTTCATCAAGAAAGCAGAAAAGAAAAGGAAGAGAAAAATGAAACATCATGAAAGTATTTCTGTTATGTCTCCCATTAAAAACACTTAATTAGAGTATAAGTTAATAATCTCAATAAGTTTGATTAATAAAGAAAACTAGGACATCATATGAGGATATTATTGCTACATATGATATTGAAACATGAGGCCATTATGATCAATAAGTGGAAATGAAAATATATTGGAAAACTAATGCCAATGCCATTATAGACCAATACTTTAGGCCTTTATATGCACACACACAAAAAAAAAAAAATGAAGTTATGGTTTTTAATAAATAAGTTAAATCCAAAAGCAGGATTGAAAATGGGTTCAAGAAGCTTGGTATTATATGAACAATTATGTACCCTTTCTACCCATATTGAACCCAAAAACAAAGGGAAAAAAGGGAAAAAAAAAAAGAATATGAAAACAAAGGCTTGGTTGTGTTTCTTGTATATTATCTAATCACTAATATCTCTATCATGAGTTGAGGTCTAGCTACCAAAAATTGATTAGTTGGGAGTGCACTTGGTGACAAAGTCAACTGAATATTTAATGTATAAACATGCACATTATAATAAAAAGAGGTATAATTAATTGATTATTGACTCTCGGAGAGGCAAAGCACAATATTGAAATACATGAGAAAAATGGAAGGAGCCAGGAGGTAAGTTGAAAGAAAAACGTGAGTCGGCAAAAAAAAAAAAAAATTAAGTGCACATTTGGTTCATGGATTTAGAATCATGATTCAAAACCATTCTCAATTTACGTGTGTTTTTTATGAGAGAAAATACTGTAGCAAACCACGAATTATGATCCGAACTATGATACGAATCCACCAACCAAACACACCTTAAGGTACTAAAAAGCATGCATTTTGCTTATTAATTCTCTCAATTCCAGTATTGATGCTAATAGATCCCCTTAATCACGCCTTGAACTCGTGATAGATAGAGACTTGTGTTGTTTTTCGTACAGTTAATCCTTTATAAATTAATGCATTTAAGACTACAAAAATTTATCAATTAATTGAGATATTATTTAATCGAGATGCTTATTAATTAATACTTTTGGGACCAAGTCGGGACGGATAAGATGGCATTTCTAGTTCCAAACGATAGGATTTTTAAAAGGGGAAAACGACAATATATCTGGGAGAGACTAGAAACTTTGGAGAGCATATAATATAACAAACAAACTAATATGGGGAAATCACATGTTTGAATTTTGATGTACATTTAGCAAACAACAATGTTACTATATGTTTTTCTGAGCCCTATCAAAGAAGAAATATGAAATAACGAATTAATTCAATAATAATACATATTATGTTGTAGCACATCAGGGATGACAAAAACTTAATGGACTTCATGCCATAGGCCATGACAAAAAGTTTTCAGCCCAAACCTTGGGCTCGAATCTTGTTGATCAGTCCAACTTTCACCCACCAAAGTTCAAGTTTATAAGCTACACAAGCCCGTAATTTTCCCAAGTCCAATTCCAACTAGTCCAATTGGCTGGTTAAGATTAATAGCCGGCCAATTCGAATGCCTTAAAATGAATAATGGTAGAAATACCAATTCTAATATCGATTAGAATTTCTATACCAACTCATATGGTATTTGATTTGTCATTCTTTTATTAGTAGTTGTTTAAAAAATTATCACGTCAATTAATAATTAATTAATAATAAGTGATTACATCTACTAACAAAAAAGATGACAACTCTACGCCACGTTAATTGGTATAAAAAAATTGAGATTAGAATTTGTGTCTCTAGCACTACTCTTGTCTAAAATTTAATAGCCCTCGTCTTTGAGAGTATTATTCACGATACTTTAGTAAATTTAGAAGATAATTTTATCAAATTAAAAATTTAGACTATGGCTTTTGTTACCATTTGTTGTGTGTTTGAGTAAAACTTTAGGTTATCTTTAAAGAAACATTTTCAATGGCATGCTTTTGAATCGAAAACAACAAAAGTTACCAAAAAAAAAAAAAAAAACAGATATCAGTCTAGGAATACAGGATCTACCAAATTTACATGGGTAATCTGAAGTGGGTATAAAGACAAAGTTGATAAAGTTGATATAACCAACTAGCAATTGTAATATCCTTAAAAATTACCTACTCACGGACCAAAGAGCAAAAATTCCTTCCAAGTATCTTCATAAAACTCTCAAAACTCTCAAAACTCTCAAAACTCTCTCTCTCTCTCTCTCTCTCTCTCTCTCTCGTTTCCAAGTATCTTCATAAAAAGTGGATGCCTTATTGCATAAACTCCCTGAGTGAGGTTGTTTATAAGTGCTCGGGCAAATATAGTGCCAAGATTTAGGATTAGTGGTATTATTATTATTAACATACATTTTCAAATTGGTTCTCAACTTATTCCATACAAAACCGAAATACTTTTATTCACAGCATAACCAAAGGTACTCATGAGTCCTAATATCTTTGGAAGTGAAATATTTTCATTGTACTCTAATCACAACACACATAAATTAACAATGCATGCAAAACAATTATACTTTTGGTCGTAATATTCTAGACCCTGAAAACAAAAAACAAAAAACACATTGCTTACAATTTGAAACTAAAAAAAGGGCGGATCCTAGTGCCAAAGAGGCTCCTGTACTATGACAGGCTTGGAGGAAAGCTCAATCCCATATGTACGCGGCCTTACCTCCTGAAAGAGAGGCCGCCTCCGAAATTCAAACCCTGGACCCCAGGTACAAACACAAACGCTCCCACCACGGTGCCAAGGCCCGCCTTCTCAATATCACCTCCTCTTGTTCTTGCTCCCAAACAACAAAGTGAAATAGAATAGGACTCTAAAGAAAAACCCCCATGCCACGGTGATCCATAGGCAATTCCACTTGCTGATGTCCGTTATCCCTTGTTGCCGGAGTATGTCAGTTCCGGTGGTCACGCACGTCGAGGCGGTGATGTTCATCCCCAGTGTCTTGCTCATGCTCTTCAACAATTGTGCCTTTAGCGACTCCGGCACCAGCCCGAGGGGCGTGTTGTCAAAGATTTGCACCCCTCGGATGAAGCATTTCACGGGATCATCGAACTCGTTTTGCAAAACGCCCTCATACGGATACTTAACAAGAGAAATATAGTGGAACCAAAGCCAATAGACTGGGATTCGGTCCCGGCTTATGAAGAATCCGCTGAAGAGGAGGAAATAGGCTAAAATCGCTACGACGACGGTGTATCCCAACATCACGTGGGTTACCACGCCGGATAAAAAGGTGACGAAAGAGCTACCGGCCCAAAACGCCGCGAGAATGGTGAAGAAGAAGAAGAAGAAGCCAGAGAGCCCACCTGCTAGGCCCACGGCCCAGAAGGTGGTTGCCGCGAAGGTAAGAGAGAGAAACACAAGTGAAGGAATGGAGATTAGAGAATGGGCGAGGACGTAGGAGGATCGGCGGTAGGCATTGTAGGCGGTTTCCCTCATGAAGATGTAGCGCTCCTGGAGGAACACCGGGATGGCCTCGGCGCACGTGTAAAACGTGGTGGACATCGCGAAGGCGAAGAACCCGAGGCGCTCCTGGACTCCTTTAGGGGAGTTGTCCAGTTTCCAGAACATGGTGGCGAGAATTACTCCGGTGACCAACACCGCCCCTAACCGAATCCCGAAAAGCTCGGGCATTCGGCGGGAGTTGGTTATCGACCGTCTGGATATCACCACCATCTCCATCCAGAAAGGATTTGCAAATGTCTGAAATGATGATGAGGAAGATGATGATGATGACGATGAAAAAGTGGAATCCTTTTGAGGCGCTCCCGAGACTAATTTGCCTCGGGAAACGCTCGCACTTATAGCGTCTTTAAGACTAACGGTGCAATTAGAATTGCAGTAATCTCTCCGATTACTGTTAATTTTCTGGCAGGATTTGTTGAACTCGACTAGGGTTCTGGTCCCGCCGGGGGTTTCCTCGAGCTCTCGAATAAGGTCTAGAGCGAATTCCGTCCGGTTTTCCTTCTCCGGGATCGGGTGGCCAAACTCAGAGAAGAAGATAGGAAGGCTCGTCGGCGAACCGCTATAGACGGTTTGGCCGTGAGAGAGGAAGATGAGCCGGTCCAACAAGCTGAGGATTCGGGAGCTCGGTTGGTGGATCGACATGATGATGATACTACCACTTTGGGCAATTCTCTGGAGTACCTTCACCACCATGAACGCACTCGTTGAGTCGAGCCCTGACGTCGGCTCGTCGAGGAAGAGGAGGATCGGGTCGTGGATTATGTCGATTCCGATCGAGACTCTCCGTCTTTCTCCGCCGGAAACTCCTCTATGCCCTTCATCGCCGATCACCGTCTTTGCCGCGCTTCGTAACCCTAGCTGATCAATCAAAGCTTGAACCCTCGCCCGCTTTTTTGACTTGGAGAGCGAACGAGGGAGCCTAAACTCTGCCGAGAACATGAGAGTCTCTTCAACCGTGAGCATTGGGAACAAGAGATCGTCTTGCATAACGTAAGCAGAAATCACCTTCAATAATCTGGACTCCAAGGCCTCTCCGTTCAAGCATACCGAGCCTTTCAAGCTTTCTTTCGCGATGCGGTCGGCTAGGGCGTCGATGAGGGTCGATTTCCCCGACCCGCTCGCACCGAGCACCGCCATGATCTCGCCTTCTCTTGCCTCGCCGGAGATGTTGTTCAACAAGATCTTGGTGTTGTTGCGGTTGTTATTATTTTCCACGGCCGTGAATTCCTCATTTCCACGAGCCGCCTCCATTTTCGACGGGAAAAAACTTATTTTTGTGCGGACTTTGACGCTGTAGGTGAGATTGTGAAAGGAAAGAACAAAAGGGGATGAGCTTGGCGGCAGTGAATTGTAAGGAAAACCAATATCAAGAAGATGGCTATTGTGAGAATGTGAGGAAATTGGGGATTGTGCGTCTTCAACTTGCTTTAGAAGCTCACCTAAAGTAGGTTTTACGGGGGGTTTGGGATTGAAGTCTGCAAGCTCCATGTTTGGGTTGAAGAAAGGGAAATAGGGGTTGGTGGCGGCGGCAGCAGAGGCGGAGGAGGACCGACGAGTTGCCGACGGCATCAGTGGAGCTTCCGGACGAGAAAACATGGGGGTGAAGATGGGGTTTAGTTACAGAAAGTAGCTAGTAAGAACTCTTGTGAAACAACATTTTTATAGAAGAAATTAGGTGCCCAACTCTTGCGTAATGCGTTATAGTAGGTGAGAAGAGTTGTGCATGTAAGCTCTAGTTTCTAGTTTCTACTTTCTACTTTCTACTTCTACTTTCTACCGAGTCTTTTAAGACAAGTCATGCAAACAAAAGAAAAAGAAAAAAAAAAGCCTTTCCAGAGAGTAGTTTTACATGATAATTAATAATCTTTGTAGAAATATAGTTGAAATATATGTCTTCAATTAGTAGATATTTTGGTAATTAAGTATTCCTTTATTGACAATATGTATTTTAAGGTTTATTGCCAGCAATCAACGAATTGATTTGTAATTTTCCTGAGAAATTCTTTAAGTATATGACTTTGAGATATACTCTATATTTTCTACATAATATGTTTTCTCCATTTTTTTATTCTCTAGATTGATCATGTGAACTGTAGTTTGATTTTTGATTTCCAACTAAAATAGGTAAAAGCAATTAAAATATGCCAATTATTGCTTGGACACTTCTATGATGTGTCATTTTGATGTATCAGAGTAATTACAAAGATGAATTGTTGTTAAGTGTCAAAATCAGAGAAAACCCTCTTGCCTTCATCCATGTTTTCTTATTGCCAACACTAAAAACGTTTTATTGGGTAATTGGGCTTTGATTATGGGGAGTTTCATGCTTACTTCTACAAGCCAAAGGGACATTTTCCATGAATCCAAATACAAATCGAGTCTCTTATTAAGAAAAAGATTAGTGCAACCTGCCGGCTTGTTAATCATTTAAATCGGGTTAATCATACAATCATTTAGATAATATCAAATTATAAAGTGTTTGCGCTTAATTCAACCTAATTATGGTAAATACATGCTTCCAATGTGTCTGATCTAGAATTTAAATCCCCCCACGCTCAAATTCCGAAATTAACTAATAATAAAAGAAAAATACCCATTTGGTTAATTCTCCAATTGGGTCAAGAAAGATGATGAGTCATGTGTTGAAATTTGTCATGAGGAAATGGTGACCTATGTCTCTCCTAATCTAATTCTCAACACGCCTCCATTCTCCTCACGAAAACCCCATTTTCAAAAATTGGGTTATTTGTAAACTTTTCGTTTATAACAATTAGTGTCATTTTTAATGTGTTTTTCCCTTATACATGTTAGGTGTGGGTGTTGTATCTGCTGTGGAATAGCTCCAATAATGGGTGTTCATCTAATGTGGGACTCAATTTATGGGTTGGACTTTGTAGGCAAAAAAGATGAAATTACAAAACCCAAAAGAAGAAAACAAAGGAAGTATAAATAAGAGTTGGTCAAAGCTAGTAAGCTCTCAACCATAATTCCTGAATTAGCTGATCACGTAAGAATCACCCCCTGCGTCTTCTATGGGTGTGAACACTTTTCATGCACAAACTGTCTAGTCCAGCTCAGTCAACACCTTTGCCAGCCACAAAAGCTAGGGAAAACTTTACGTTACCAATAGTGCACAATTTAAAACCGTTGATTTTCATCAAATTTTATTAAATATTTATGTGTGTGTAAATGTCTTTAAGTTTGACAACCGGATCAATCTGATAAATGTAACTTTTCTCATATTACCGTGTAACATCGTTCTTTTATGTGTGTAACACTCAGTTTGCATAGTGTAATATTCAAAAAATATAATCCAACACATGTATAATTGAGTATAAAACTTAAATAAACCGATTGTTATACACACATCATCATATAAACAATTTTACACAAAAATAAAAGCAAAATTACACTTTTCGAACTATACAGATGTCATACTTAAAGGGCACGTTTGGAGCTCGTTCTAAAATGATTTTATTTTTTGTATGAAAATAAAATGAAAACGTTTTCAAACTCAGACATAAATCATTTTTAAAAATGCATTTGATAGTTTTATTAAGAGATTATTTTCAATATAAAAAATTTATTAATGTTTCTCTCTCTCTCTTTGCTCGAGAGAGGAGAAAATGAAAATAAAAACAAAAAATGAAAAATGACTAAAAGTCATTTTTTATTTCTCTCATTTTACACTAAACCAAAAAATCATTTTCATTTTCCTTTTTTTGTCTTTATTGCGCCAAACGTAGTTTTAAAAACGTTTTCATTTTTCTTTCTTAAAAAATAAAAAAAAATAAAAACGAAATCAATTCCAAATACGTCAAAGAGTTTACATATATATATATATATATATATTTGAAAAATAGTGCTAAACCCCATGGGTTGAATTCATGACTCTCACAAAAAGCAGATTTCGCCCGGTGGAACCACCTTTTGTGAGAATCCTCAATTCTAACCCTGGGTTGATAGAGGTACTCATACTTTTATAACGGTATGATTTAAATATGATGATGATTCATCACTGTGTGCTAGCTAGAGATGTGATATTTATATTTTTTGTATCCTACTACGTAATTGCAATATAGCTAATTTTCGATAGTAGAAATTTTGACCCCGTTCATTTTACCGATTTAAGTTTAGAATTAGAGTTTTGCTATAGTAAAAAAATTCTCAAAAATAGTCACATCTAACTTTTTTACTACAATAAAAAACTCTCACATAAAGTCATATCTCAACTCGAATTAAAAACTCAAATCAACAAACTAAACAGTCAATTCATTTTTGAGTCCATGGTCAACTAGATTGGCGTGGAGTAGATGATCAGCCATGTCATGACACATTATTATGCAAACTAAAGCTGTTATGTCATGCATTTCCTTATGCTAAGAGAGAGAGAGAGAGAGAGAGAAAGAGAGTGAGAGAGTTTGTTAGTTCCATGCTAAGAGGGAGAGTTTGTTTGTCGTTTCTCTATGTACCGGCTCATATGTAGAAGTCACTTGCTGTTGGTAACTATGAGAGGGATGTTGTTTAATTCTACCGACTTTCAAACTCTTAGCTTCAAATAAAAATTTAAAAAAAAATGTTATTAGACATTAACATTAAAAGCGTCAGCCAGGACCTATATTCTCATGCGTCTCAAGACAGATGCACAAATGTTTGCATTATTATGTGTATTGAGAAATATAAAAACATAGGCCGTGTTTGGAATTGATTCTGTTTTTATTTTTCACGTTTTTCAAGTAAGAAAAAATAAAAATATTTTTAAAACAGTGTTTGGCGCGATAAAAATAAAAAAAAAGAAATGAAAATGATTTTTTGGTTTAGTGTAAAATGATAGAGAAATGAAAAATGACTTTTAGTTGTTTTTCATTTTTTATTTTCGTTTTCTCTTCTCTCGAGCAGAGAGAGAGAAAGAGAGACATTAATGGGTTTTTTATATTGAAAACAACCTCTTGATAAAACTATCAAACGTATTTTTAAAAATGATTTATGTTTGAGATTGAAAACATCTTCATTTTCATTTTCATATAAAAAATAAAATCATTTTAGAACGAATTCCAAACGCGCCCATATGATTATAATGCCAAAATACAAGAATAAAAAGAATAACAAGAAAGAGGTAGGAATATTGAAATGAGAACAAAGCTTGAGACATCGCTGGAGATCATGACTGAATAGAGGAACTATCTTTTTTGTGGATTTAGGGTATTTTGTAAATTGAGAGGTCATAGATATATCCATGACATTGCTCGTCACTACATTGCGCGAGGGCAATATCTGCTTTGTCCCGTGGTGGCAAAAATCACAATGAGTCATGTCTCCTTATCATAACGATGCCACGGGAAGATCTCGTGGCGGCAAAATCCGCTTCCCTCACCATTGTTTCTCCCTCGTACGGTGGTCCTGAAAACAAAGTTCAAGGAGATCGTCAAAGACGAAATTGAGATGTTAGAGAAAGTTTTTAACTTGACCAAGGAAGTTTTGTAGGTTTAGGATTTTTGTGATTTTCGTGTGTATTTTGAGTTTATGTGGAGTGGACGTTTGGTTCATGGATTCAAAATTATTCTCGATTTACGTGTATTTTTTGTTAGAGAAAATATTATAGCCAACCACGAACTATAATTCAAATCATGGTACGAATTTACCAACTAAACGCACGCTGTCTTCTTGTGATAAAATCGACAGTGGCATGTTTGATTGCCATAGATGACTTTGGTTTTTTATCAATATCATTGTGGATACTGCGGTTACTAGCCGGTATTATGGTGAATATTTGTGGTTACTAGTCGATCGAGACCATGAATTTCCAACATTTCTTGAAGTGCCCGTTAAACCATGGTGGAATATTTCATGGGCTTAATAAAAAAAGCCTGCTAAGTCCACTACATACCCATTTCACATTGGCCCGTACATTGACGCAATTGCGGAATATTTCATGGGCTTAATCAATGAGCCTAGTGGGTCCGTTCGGCCCATTAAAATTGGCCCGTACGACAACTTCGTCGTCGCTGACATCATCACGGATCCAAATCCAAAATATCCAAAACCAGAAACTCCTTTTTATTTACCACACCGTGTTTCCTCCAATCTCAACCGTTGGATTCACCAGAACGCTTTCTGGCCGTCAAATCCTGTCGGGTCCTTCTATATAATGGCTACCACTCCTCCTTCTGCCTTTTCTTTCTAGTTCGAGGGTTTATTCGAAAGTTCTTTCTGACTTCTTCGATTATCTCAAAGGTACGAGCCCCAAATTTTAGGGTATTTTTTTAAAAGAGTTTTCTCTATTTTTTTATAATTCGTTTAAGCTTTTGAGTTTGTGGATTCGGATTTTCCCTTCTGATATTATGGCTTTTGGATTTGTTCGTGTTTTGAAGGAGAAAAGAATGATTTTTTTTATGATATTTGGTTATTAATTTACAGCTTAATTGTAATTGATAGATCTCGATTTGTTTTTGTGAAGCTGATAAACGGAAGAAGTTAATTAGGGTTTAGGGTTTGAAAGAATTGGGGCTTTTGCTATTTCAAATCGCTCTTGCTTTTATTCTTATTGAAAGCAGCTGGGTTTTGGCGGAAAATTCGTTCTTTAAATATGATTTGTCACAAATTACCGGCTTAACTATTATTAATGGATGTCGATTTCGTTTTTGTGAAGCTGATAAACTGAAGAAGTTAATTAGGGTTTGAAAGAATTGGGGCTTTTTTGCTATTTCAAATCGCTCTTGCTTTTCTTCCTATCGAAAACAACTGGGTTTGGGGAAAAAATTGTTGTTTGAATATGTTTAGTTATAAATTGCCGGTTTAACTATTATTAATGGATCTGGATTCGTTTTGTGAAGCTGATAAACGGAACAAGTTAATTGGGGCAGTTATGGGTCTGAAATAAATGGACACTTGCTTTTGTTTATTCTTATTGAAAACAACTGGATTTGGGGAGAAAAGGAAAGATTTTTTAAAATGTTGAGTTGTTAGTTACTGGATTCGAGTGTTGTTTATAGATCTTCAGTTTATTTTTGTGAAGGTAATAAACAAAAGCTTGTTAGGGTATTTCTGAATTTGAAAGAAACGGGGGATTTTTCTATTTCGAATTGCTTTTGCATTTCTTCTTATTGAAAATAGTCTAGAGTTTAAGTTAGTAAAGGATTTGCTGGCTTAAGTATTACTGATTAATAGATCGCGATTCTGATAAACAGAAGTCATATAGGGAATTTCTTTTATCCTGAAGGAGTGTATTTTTTTTTATATATTTATTTATCCCAATACCTGAATTGCTTGCTTCTGTTCTTATTGAAAATAGTTTAGAGAGGTTCATAGAGGAATATCTTTTTTTGGCAGATTGAAAATGCCTCGTTATGATGACCGATACGGAAATACCCGCCTCTATGTTGGTCGGTTGTCCTCAAGGACGCGATCACGTGATTTGGAACGACTTTTCAGCAGATATGGAAGGTAAGCTGTTATAGTATTGTCATGTGATGTACCTTTTTGAATCAACTCGCAAAATTATCTCTGAATTTGATATATTTTTTGGATTTTTTTTTGTTTGTTGTTCAAGTTTATGTATTTTTTGTAAGTTAGTTAATTTGTGTACTCAAGTGAGAGGTACTGCATTGCAACTGTTCATAATTTGGTCTTATGGGAAGTCGGGGTGTTTTTAAGTTTTCCACCAACATGGGTTCTTTGCCAAGCCTTGCTTTCGTGCTTGGTTTAATGTGACTATTGTTGATGCTATATATTGGAGCCATTGCTCCAAGGTGTCATGTTTCTTAACATGAGTGATTTTGTTGAAGGTTTTCTGGGGTTTGGCCTACCTGGAGGTCTTTGGTGGGAGGGTGGCCATGGTGGAATTGGTGGAAATTCTTGCCGATTGTATAGGAGAGAACACTTTGGCGATTCTTTCTGTAATGTTATTCCTGTGTTTTTATGCAAATGGCAACAATTCCAAACTGGTGTCTGTAGTTCGTCTGTGATGGGCAAAGTACCATACACTTGCAGTTCTTAAGTAATGATAGCCTTACTGTTTCTGGCAACCGTTTACGCAGAGTACGAGATGTGGACATGAAGCGCGATTTTGCCTTTGTTGTAAGTTCCACTTTTCTTTTATGTCTGTTGTTCTGTTCTTGACTTTGATATTGTACTTTGTTTCTTGATTAGTTTGGAGAAGCTGTTTATGTGCCAGATAATGCAATATGGGTTGCTTTGGTTGGTTCTGTGCTTATGTCTTGTTGACAGGAATTTAGTGATCCTCGAGATGCTGATGATGCAAGGTATAGCTTGGATGGCCGTGAGTTGGATGGAACTCGCATCATTGTTGAGTTTTCGAAGGGGGTAAGGTTCATGAACTGGATAGTCCTTAACTCTTCAGATGCCATGACATTTTTAAATTCAAATTTTTGCTGATTTGAGTCAAATTGGCTTCTATCTGGAGCTGGTTTGTACCCTAAATAGGCAAAACAATTGTTTGGTAAAGTAGATTTATTCCCCTCCTTCCTATTAATAGCATCTTAAGATTGGCAGTTCTTTGAATTATTTAACTTAAAAAGGTGTTTTTTCCTTTGTCTTGTTTGGTTGAGTAGACGCCTCGCGGTTCTCGAGAATATCTTGGTAGAGGCCCCCCTCCTGGATCTGGGCGTTGCTTTAATTGTGGTCTTGATGGCCACTGGGCTCGAGATTGCAAGGCTGGAGACTGGAAGAACAAATGTTATCGCTGTGGAGAGAGAGGTCACATTGAAAGACAATGCAAAAACAGTCCAAAGGATTTAAGGTAATTTCTCTCCTACACATGCTCAGATTGTTTTTATCTCCCCTTATTGACAAATGACAATGCAACTAGTAAGTATTGTTCCTTCCCTTCCTCACTTTGTAAATTTTGTTGCAGGCGTGAGGAGAGTCTTTCAAGATCTCCACGCTCACCTCGTCGTGGCAGAAGCCGCAGTCGTAGTTACAGCAGAGGCCGCAGCTATAGGTCAGTTTTTTGACTTAATTCTTCTCGACTTTGTTAAGATAGCAATTAAGAACCAAACAAAAAAAAAAAAAAAAGAATCACATAATGTAATGCCAAAGCTTCTTCTTGAAACATGTATTTCTAGTTGACGAGTTAGTTGCTTATTTTGGACGGTCCCTTTTTTTTTCTTGCTTGCCAGCCGGTCGAGATCTCCAGCAAGAAGGGGGCGAAGCTATGATCTTGATGGGGGATCAAGAAGCCCTAAGCCTAGGGACAGTCCAGTCCCTTCCAAGTCAAGAAAACGCAGTCGCAGCGCTACACCTGATGATGGAAGCCCCAAGGAGAGAGGTAGCCCTTCTCCAAGAAATGGTCGATTGTCAGATCGGAATGATGACAGTGGTAGCCCTAGGGAGAAGAGCAGAAGCCCTAGTCCTGAGAGGGACAGCCCTGATGATAGGAGGTATCGAAGCCCCAATGAAACCAACGGACGCAGCCAAAGTCCAAGCCCTAGTCCAAGGGAGGATAGAAGTCCAGTTGATGATGATGATGACAACCGCCGTTCTCCAAGAGGCAGCGAGTCATCATAAAGAGTACAGTGCAAATGATTTCGCCATGTCTTAATAGAGGGCGTGTGTGTTTGAACTCTTGAAACTCTTGAAGCATGCGATGCAGACTGTGTACCCTGCTATTAGCTTATTGCGGAAACTTTAATTAGAGCAAGTTGTTTGAAACATTACTTTGGATGCAAGGATTTGGAACTTAACTATTGAATATTCGTATCTCATAAGCATGTTTGCTTCATCTGACCTGAATTTTCAATCTCTTTTCTTTTTTTTGCTCAAGTCTTTGGTAAGCAACTACTGGTTGCTTACCAAAGATTGGAGGGTATTCAAGATAGAAGAATTTGGAAGGCTGATAATTCAGGCTTTTTTTCCCGTTAAATAAATCTTTTTCCAATTTATAGTAGATCACTCTGTCCCGGATTTTTGGGCGCGCTTGATATATGGGTTTAAATTAGGGTTTTTTATTATGACTTTGAAATTTAAATTTTATGAGAGACACGTTTGGTAAACTGAATTTCTCCAGGTTGGGGTGTGCTTTGCAAAGATAGTGGCTAGTCAGTGGATCACTATCTCCAGGTTGGGGTGATACCAAACAATTATGCAAGGATGGCTATATGGTTAGAGAGAAATAGAAGGATTTGGTAAGGGCGTGAGGAGGACATTCTTGTCACTTGGGATGGAATCAAAATGAATATTGCACTATGGATTCGTCCTAAAAAGGAATTTAGTAAACCTTCTGTTTTCAGATCTTGTTAGAGATTGGTCTTCCTTTTTATAGGTTTTTGTTTCCTTATTTTTGTAAAGGATTTTGGAATCCTTCTCGGATGTACTGTTTTTCTCCATCTTTTTCTTTAATATAAAATTTATGTTATCGTTCCCTTTTCAAAAACAAAAAAAAAACAAAAAAAACAAAGAGAGAGAGAGACTCTTGAGCCGTTTTCCTATAATAACTAACCTAAGAACATTGAAAACATTTCACACATCTATTAAAAAAAAATTAGTTTTTGCACAAAAAAAAAGAAAGTTTCTTTTTGACAAGAATCAATTAAAACTAAGAAATAGTTGAAGTCGATTGGATTTCATCTAAATGTAAATTAAAATTAAATATAGTAGTATAAGAATATAGGAAACTATTCTGATTTCATCAAAGTTGAAGAATCAACTAATGTAGGATAATTTGAAAAGTTTTGATTGAATTATGATCTAAAAAGAAAAAAGAAAATAATCGCTGAATAATGGATGAAAATAGGATAATAGTCTAAACTAAATAAAATCATAATCTAAGAGTAGCCATTAAACATAGTCTAAAAAAACGGGTCTAAAAAAATGGATCAATCCGTGGAGTCGTTCTAATTCAACAAAAGCTTGGAACCAAAATACGAAATAATGTCTTGAAAAAACACGAAATAATGCCATAAAATTAGTTTTTTTTTTATTTTTTTGGTAGGGAAATTAATAAATCTACTATATCACCGAGCAACTCATTACCATCACTTCATTTTTTTATTCTAAGCAGTGTTATCCACCATGTCTCGTGCCGTGCCTATGCATTCTCTTGGTGTAGTCGGCATGGCCGGCCGGCGACGCCAGACCGCAAAGACAAAGCAAAACCAAAGCCAAAGCCATGTCGGCTTCGGCGGCGAGAGGAAAGAAGAGCTATGGCGCTGCACAGAAGGCTGCGGTGCCTGCTGCAAGCTCAACAAAGGTCCTTCCTTTGCCACTCCTGAAGAAATCTTCCACGACCCTTCTGACATCCACGTAAATCTGCCTCTTCTAATGTCGTTTTGAAATACCCTTTTACCTTTTCTATATGTTTTTGAGTTTGAGTTTCTTCTAATTACCCTTTTACATGTTTGATTTAATTTTAATGTGTGTTTTGAGTTAAAAATTTTCAGCTTTACAGAAGCATGATAGGCCCAGATGGATGGTGCGTGCACTATGATAAGACCACACGCAAATGCTCTATTTACTCTGGTGAGAGCTTTATTCCCTTCTTCAATATGTTGTTCCTTCTTTAGTACTATTGTTTTTTGGTCATTTTAATTTTGATGCAATTTTATGCTAAAAATTATGCAAGTATTGTGATTATGTCATCCAGATTAGTTTATTCTATTTATCTTTTTTCTATTCTTTTGACTTGAATTTGATTTTAAGCCTCCATTTGAAGAAGGAAATAGTAATAATAGACAAAAGATGCATGAGCCAAAAGGAACAAGATAAATACAATACCCATTTCAGTAATAGATTTGAACGAAAAGTTTAAATAGAAATACAAAATTTTTTGTGAGGTAAAACGCTGTAGGAAAATAAAAACTGAATTGCGGTTCAAATTTGTGAAACAAAAAAGCTAAAAATTTCTTCCTAGCTTCTAAAATCATTTGGTCCGCTTTGTTTCTAGACCGTCCATACTTTTGCCATGTGGAACCAGATGTGTTTCAGGATTTATATGGAATCTCTAAGAAGAAATTCAACAAGGAGGCATGCAGGTTTTCTTCCCTTTCTGTTGTTTCTATTTATATTACTTCTTTTCCATTTTATGGTTTGATTTACTTTTTGTTTGTTTTTTTTTTTTTTTTTTTGTTCAATCTCTTTTTGCAGTAGCTGTAGGGACACTATCAAAGCAATTTATGGTTCAGATTCAAAGGAGATAGATAAGTTCAATGACTCAGTGAGAAGCTAAGGCACTTGTTAAATTGGATTACAAAAAATCATTTTCCCTTTTGAAATTTCGTCTTGGTATGTCCATGAAGCTGTTAGGGAGTTGCCTTGAAGTATTAGTTTATGTTTTGCACAGAAATTGCTTCCTATAGTGGAGTAGAAATATATCGTTTGCAAATGTAATTAATTGGCTTTAGCCTAACCAATGAGGAAACGGATTTCTTGCCAGAACAACAACAGCATATATTCGCATAAACCATATATACTTATGTTCACCAACAATAAGATAAGTGCAGTGTGAAAAACAGAAAGAAGTAGTAATTCTAAATTACTTACAGAACTTTTATAGTTTTTCTATTATCGGGAGGGGACACAATTATTTTCTTTTTATTTTATAGCAGCACAACTGAAATTATAATAGTATTCATTTATAAAATTCTAAATGTTAAAATTTTAGCGGGGCGGGGCACGTCCCCCCCATGAACTCTATACAGCTCCAACATGACGCCTCAGTATATTCATGCTCGAAAAAATGCTCTAAACACCATATGTTTTGACTACTACAAAACTGATATTTCACAACATCATTTTATTTCTCCAGAGCCCTATCCTCACTTTGTTGGGTGTGATTTTATCTTGTTAGCCTAAGTTACTGATCAAGAAATTGTTCTTTCTCATCAACCAGAGAAAAGAAAACGAGAGAGTTCTTAACCAAAGTTGTGAAATGATTGTTTTTGGGAAGAACCTTGAGTGAGAATGTTGTTTTCATAACCAAGAAGAAGATCCTCCTTCAACTTCAATCACAAGTATACATGAGACTGCCAAAAAGAGCAGCGCTATTTTCAGTAAGTGGAACCTGTAGGGTGCGTTTGGAATTGTTTACAAAATGATTTTGTTTTCTGTATGAAAAATAGAAATGAAAACATTTTCATTTTCATTTTAGAATCATTTTTGAAATGCGTTTGGTAGTTTTATTCAGAGATAGATTTTAGTTTTAAAAGAAACTGAAACTGGCGTTTGGTAGTTTAATTTTTAAAAACATGTAATAATATTTAAATTAATAATATATTGAATATATAATAATATTAAATATATTAAATAATAATATAATAAATAAATATATTAAATGAATCGTGAATTTTTATAAAGAAGAGCGGCGGCGGCGGGCAAGGGGGGTCGTCGGAGAAGAGAAAGGCGGCGGCGGGGGAGGGGGGGCAGTCGGAGAAGAGAGTGGCGGCAGCGGGGGGGCGCGCAGTTGCAGACGCCGGCTGGATGAGCGACGGTGGGCGTTCTCCCGCGTCTTCTTCGGCTGGAGAAGAGAGAGAAGAAAAAAAAAAAACTAAAATCCGTTTTCAGAAAACGAAAACGTGAAAATGAAAACGTATTTTTTTCGTTTTCAGTTTTTCACAAAAAGACAAACGTTTTTGTTTTTGTTTTCTAACACAAACTTCGCCAAACGTGTTTTTTATTTCTGTTTTCAATTTTTTACTTTGAAAAACGTGAAAAATGAAAAAATAATAATAATAATAATAAACGGTAACAAATAGGCCGTAGCTTTTCTCCTATTAATGAACACAAGAAATTGAATACGATGCTCTGGCAACCTATCTTTTTCTTATTCCTCCCCCAATCTTTTATGCTACTTTTCACCGAAAAAAGAGATTCGATTTTGAAGGGCAATTTCCGAAGGCAACAAGGATCTGTCTTTTATTCTTTAGAGAAATTCAGAAACCAGAATCAGAATCTCCTATCAACATCGGGTGCCACCAGCCTCTTCCTTTTCTACTTTTTTCCTTCTAAGCTACAAAAACCAATTCCCTTTACTAAATTATTGGTATAGAATGTATCGTCACTGCACATCTACTATCACAGATAGAAAGCACCTTCTTCCAATTAAGTCATTTTTTAAGCTTGAATTTTATCCTCAAATGGCTTATTCTAGTTTCAATATGAACGAGGGAGATGTGATTCAGCCTTCTCTTCCATGGGGCAGCTACGAATATGAGCGTGTTCTGACCAATGGCAACCATTTCCCATCAGAAGTCACATTCTATGGTTGCCCTTTCTTCAACTCTAGCGGTTATCACCAAGAGGGATCGCTTCAAGCCATAATCTCTTCTTCACCATGTATGGAAGAGGAGCCCGGTTTTCCTACCAGTCCATGGAACAATACCTTGGAAACCGAGTCTTATGACGGAGAACAGCAGCCTTATGAAGGCTGCAGAAATTGGCCGATTAACTGCAACTCCGTGTTCAATGGTTGTTGGGAACATAAATATGGCTCCCTTGGCAATGGGAGCAACAACAATTCAGAGAACATGGAAAGCTCCAACGCATGTGAAGAACAGTGTGGCAATAGTTCTTTCACTCGCCGAGATGATGAATACGCAGAAAACTATCCTGCAACGTCTGATTATTATCCGTGGCCATGTTGTGATTCTTGGTTCGCATATGGACAGGAAAATGTTTCTTTAGCCTACAGTGAGGAAGAGACCAATGTTGCATACGAACGCGTTTTGCGTGATGTTGGAGTTTATGAAGGGATATTTGGCTACTGGCCTTGCTTGTATCGTAGGCACTGAAACATTAGGAATGCTGCAAATTTAAGTCAGCAACTTGTCAAAGAATAAGTGTAAGCAAGACTAGTAAGACATTTTTCTTAGCAAATTTGTATTCATGACATTTATTTTAAAGGGTTTGTAATGAGATGGTTATTATTTTGTCTACTTTATATCATAGTTCTGGACGGTTGAGGTTTTCGTTGTAATCGTCTTTTATCTCTTTAAGTGAACAAATTTGAAGGGAAGAAAGAGAAGAGAGTAAAGGATCATGGCAGATGATAATGAGAGTTAGCTCTCACTTTCTCAAAGCTGATCTGATACACCAATACAGGCACGTGAGATTTATTATACCTTTGGTTGTATAAAAATCATACATAGAGATCATCAATCGCTTTCTTATTTTTAATTATGTCTAGTTTGATTATGGTGCATAACATACAATACCAAGCTTTTTGTGTCGAACAAAATGAAAGCAGATTTAGTATAAACAATGAATAAGAAACTCTTGCACATTTAGTATAAACTTTTGTATCTTTTTAACTTCTTTTTTTTTTTTTTGTCTTCTTCCGAGTAGCAAAATTTATGTAAGATCAACTTACTGTACTGTACAGACTAAAGTATTCACCTAAAAAAAAGAAAAAGAAAACTTACTGTACAGTACAGTACAGAAATCAAACCAAGCAACTCTCAATAATCATATTAGATTCCAAGGCCCAATTCATCCTCAATATCATCCCCCTCTTCAAAGAGCTTCAAGAACCGAGCTTGATCTTGCTCTCTCTTTTTCTTTTGCCAATATTTGTATGCAGCTATCAATCCAAGAATTAACACCGTCGAAATGAGGGCACTTATCAGTATGATAAGAGCAACGTGCATTCCTTTTCTCCCTTTATGCGAGTCGGAGGCTGAATTCGAACCTGCAAAAATATGGTCTTTAGAGTTAGCTCCAATCTGGATAGAGACATGTACACAAACAAGAATTCACTGATATTTCTTTTATGGGAAAACTTTCGATATGTGAATCATTGGGAAAACTGACCAGTGGAAGAAGGTGTACACTTTGGACAAGAGAAAGTAGCATTCACTTCATTGTCCTTGAATCTGATATACTTTCCATCAGAAGTGAAGTCTGAAGGACAGAACTCCCACTCATCGAACACATCATCTGATTTAAATACGTCTTTCTCATAGAACCCACATCGCTTGCATTTCTTGTCCGGAAGTTCCGTCAGAGGCTGAAAGCATAAATACCCAGAATTCCTTTAGCTGCTTATAAAACGAACAAAAGATTTTAAAATATTAAACTAGGCTACAAAAAGATACACCGAATCGGAGAAGTCATAGACCGATCAATCAACTAGCTTTATGATCTAACAGCAAGATTTTATATTTTATTTGAAAACCATTCGAAGGGCAAAAAGTTAACCCTCTTTGGCTGAGAATCAAAGACCAAGACTCAGTTATAAGGTCATATAAGTGTTTATAAACTAATATGTATTTTCAAGATTCAGGGGTAAAACAAAAATGCATAGACAGAGCTTTCACCAGAATTATACATAATGATCTCATGTTATGATTAGCAATTTAGCATTCATTTTGTAGTCCTAAAAGTTTCTTCAAGCAATATAAAAGAACCAAATTGTCCCCATACATTGAGCAAATATTCGGAAAAATATAATCATTCACCTCCTGTGATATGAGACACTAACGTATTTTCAATGAACAAAAAATGTTTTTTTTTTTTTTCAATATCAACTTACTTAATCAGAAATAGGTGGATTCATTTTTTCTTAATTTCGATAAACATTAACCGAGAGATATTCATTGTTCATCTCATTGTTACCCTTTTCTTTTTTTTTTTCCTATTTCAATGTTGGAAATATTTCTGTCTACTCGTCCTTCCTAAAAGTTCCATCAATCATATATAGATAACCAAATCGTTTCCACACCTTGAGCAATTACTCAAAAAGAACCAATCTTTCACCACAATGATACACGTTGAACAAAAGGGTCCGTTATATGATCTCATTTTTTTTAAGGTTTTTTTTTTTTTTGGAAAGATACTCCGTAATGGCACAGCATGTAGAGATCCAGACATTGAGAAATTATTCAAAAGGCACCAATCTTTCACTTACATATCAACTATCGGTACAGAATTTTCTTGTGGGCATTTTTAATTAAACAAAAAAAAAATCCAACCTGCCAAGACTCTTCGCCTTTGAATTTATACAATTCGTGGGATTTCTTCACATCAGGCAAATCCGTCTTGTTCTCCCCTTTACAACTGAAATAGACCTTCGGTTTCACGGATTTCAGAATCTCGTGGGTTTTGTATATCTCAATCGAATCCAACCTCACAATCGCCGATAATACCAACCCTAAATCACAATTCGCACCCTTAATTACACAAAAATTAATAAAAATTTATCCGATTTCCAAAGGAAAAAAATTGAAATAAATCACTCTCTTTCTTTCTTTACCTGAAAAGCAGCTAAGAAATGAGCTGCCGAGAAGAAAAATCGCAGAAATCCTAACTTCCATCAGGTCAAGAATCGCCATAGACACGTTCTTCCTCTGAAACGACGACGAGAGGAGTGTCGTTTTTGCGTGCTGGAAGCGAAATGGACGATGATGACGACTTGTTTCAGTTGGGAGGCTATCTATTTTACGCGGGGGGTGAAGTGCGCACCACTAGAGCTTCCAGATTATGCCACGTCATCGATTGCGTGGCGAGATCTGGACGGTGGTGTTTGTGGTTATAGTTGACCGGTTCTTATTTGAGTTTTTGATTTGAGTTTTCAATTTGAGCTGAGATGTGACATTTTTTTAGAGCTTTTTATTATAACAAAAAAAATTAAATGTGATATTTTTTAAGAGTTTTTTATTGTAAAAACTTAAAACTGAAAATTTAAATCGGTGAAATAAATGAGACCTTAATAATTCGGATAGTTTGACTATTCCTTTCTTGGTGTGGGTGGCTCGCAAGTTACAAGAATATTCCCTTTCAACAATTCCTGATCAATTCTAGTATGGGATATGAGAAAATTCCCTTCTAAAATTCTGTTAATTTTGAATATTTTTTATTTTAATTTTAAATAAATTTAAGGTCTATTAAAACATAGATTACGAGTAAATACTTTTACTATAAAAGTCTCTTACAGTATTTTGTTTTGTAAAATTTAAATTTTTATTTAAATTTTTCTGTTTAAACCAACACAACATACGAGTCAAGCACCAACGACTTATTTTCAGCCTTTGACGATTGATAATGTTTCATTATCTTGTGATGGAAATTTGGATTGTGTAAGTCTCACAATTTTCACAAAATCTAATAGATTATAGAACTTCCTCTCACCACCTTTTTTCCACATTTTTAAGGTACTTTTTGGTTTCTATTTATTTTAAAGGCATCATGTACAAAAATGTACTTTAAGGTCAATTTATGCTGGAAATCTTGATCTAGCAAACTTAGTACATATTTACGCATAAAATATGCTTTATGCTAGCATGAGAAGGAAATTAATCACATATGCGAAAGAGTTTTGACTGATGACCTCTTGACGGCTTATAAGGCCTAAAGCTGCGGTAAAACTAGATGCCAGATTTGGCATCACCCTATCTTTAGCTCTTTAACTAGAAAACTAATTTTTATATAAACGCGGACAAAATGCATGAAACTGCTCCTCATTATGATTGCCCTAAGCCCTTTAAAATCTATTGAGATGAGTCACAGCATGGCAAATTTTGGTCCGCAAAATTCTAGTGATCAAACATAGAAATTCCAACCCCCCTCCGAAAAATAAGGGTAATACGCCATGTAATGGTCATTTTTAGGATGGCAAACCAAAATAAACAAACTCTTAACAAATCCCACGTCCCATTCCCCCCCATATTGCCGCTGCTCTCCGATGATGATGAGAGCAGCCAATCACACCAACACCAACACCAACTAATGCCGTCGTCGGCTCACTCTCTCCTCTTCGTCATCTCTCTTATCGTCCTGCTAGTTGTGGTCCCCACCTCTGCCCACCTGCACGATTCCCAAAATGTCACGGCCCCCCATGTCCACGTCCGCCTAGGGGGAAGGTTCTTCCGTCACGTACGGCGGCACATGGCATTGTCGCGTCAGTTCGTGCACGCGCACAACACGGTGCGGCGACAGCTGAACCAACCACTGTTGACATGGGACCGGGGCCTAGCCCGATATGCTCGGAGGTCAGCGTCAAGGCGGTTCTTCGACTGCAAGATGGTCCACTCCTACGGGCCCTACGGCGAGAACATATTCTGGGGCGGTCGCGACCACTGGACAGCGGCTGAGGCGGTGGAGTCGTGGATTAGGGAGGCGCAGTTCTACAACCCGGACACAAACGAGTGCACGCCGGGGGAGATGTGCGGCCACTACACACAGGTCGTGTGGCGTGACACTCTCCGCGTTGGCTGCGCGCGCATGCGATGCCTCAACGGCGGTCTCCTCGTCTTCTGCGAGTACGACCCGCCGGGAAATTACATCAATGAGAACCCCTTCGGTAAGGTCTTCGACGACATTCTTGACCCGCCAGCCACTTCCGATTCGCCCTTTGAAAATCTTACGTAAATCTTCAGTTTCATTGGCAAGGTCGTTTCCTCTTGGGCAAACAATAAATTGTTAACTTCAATTCAGGATTTTGTAGGAAGAGGAAGATATGATTGAGTTAAAAAGGAGTAAGAGCTTCTTGGGATTACATTATTACTGGGCTTAATGTATACAGTACTTTCTTGTTTTTCTTTTCTTTTTTTCCCTTTCATTTGTAATGTTTATAAGCAAAATTTGACCCAAAAATATGTTGCATCCATCCATATGGTTTCTACCAATATATATACTAAGTATCTTTTAGAAAAAGTTGTACAAAACGTATATGTAATTATACATGTGTAGTAGATTCCCTGACATGTTCTAGAGCCATCTTTTAAATATTATTCTGCTCACATAAAACGAATCTAAAAAGGTTAAAAGTTGTGGATGCTTTCTAAGATTTAGTTAATGAAAAAAATTCTACTTTGAAAGTACTTCAGGTAATTAATTACAAGAAATGTTTGGCTTTTAGAGTGAAATTATGTTATGGCTAGTTAGGCCCATGTGATCATCATGTATTATATAATATTGTTCGCGGCCAAGTTACTCATCAAACTCTCTAAATTTTGTTTCCAATATGACAAGGCACGTGTGACTTGTGTGATATTTAATAGATGTTAGACACATTCTGGTAAAGTGCTATAAATTTGATATCGTTCATTTTACCGATTCGAATTTTCAATATCAATTTTACTATAGTTAAAAGCTCTCATAAAAAGTCACATCTAACTTTTTCTATTACAACAAAAAATTCTCACATTAAATTACAATTCAACTCAAATTGAAAACTCGAATTAACGGAGTGAACGAGTCATTTATGTTTAATAACGTAAAAATTGATGTGTCTATTTCATCTAATATTAATCGGATGAGCTCAAGTATTAAGAAAAGCCAATTACATTCCATTAAAAATATAAAAACATAAAAATGAAAATGACTGTAGTTAAAATTAGATCGCCAAACGTAAACCATCAAATCAAACGGCATGAAATAGGGTGGTATAGGGCTTGAAGTTAAAAGATTGTAAATCCGTTCTGTATTAAAAAAATTGATTGACCAGACTGAAACAAAATTCATAAATAAACACTAAAACAAATATAATAACAATCTTTTTTTTCTGGAACATGATTTCCTGTAAATTGAATTACCTTTCCTCTATCTAAAGAGTCAAATATAAAATACCTTTCTCTTAAATAGAATCCATGCTCATTAAGAAGGTTGTAAAGCATGGAGCAAAGTAAGAATTTTAATATTAGTTTTGTGGGGCTCATAGAGAATATTTATGCTAAAGTATTTCCAATGCCTAAATCATATATATATATATATATAGAGAGAGAGAGAGAGAGAGAGAGAGAGAGAGAGAATAAGACAGCAATAATGGAAGTTATTTGACTTTCTTTAATAGAAATTAGAAACTCTACGGTAAAGTGCAACAAATCTTATGGTTAGGATACTAATATAAGAGTTTGTAAAATATGGTCTAATTAGAATCCTTTTATAGTACTTTTATAATGTTCATAGATTATACTTAACCTAAAAGCAGTTAATTTTTGGTCCAATGCCAAAATCATAGCTGAAAATTTATATATCCTTGGGATAATTGCTTGTCCAATATATTGAGAAGAATTAGTACAACAATAAGAGAAATCCCAATTATGCTGATACAAAGACCTTGGTTTGTAACTGATGAGCTTTGGTGAAGAATCCAGGCCAGCAAAGATAAGTTGACAATATGCTGCTAAGCGTAGACGCACCAATAAGAAAGTTCATCACAATTATCTGAAGCTGAATAGCCTCTATAGGAGAAGCTCCTCCCATTATGAGGCCGGTCATCGCGCCGGGGAGCGAGATCAGTCCCACGGTTTTCGCGTTGTCGATTACCGGGGAAAGAGAAATCACCAAAGCCCTCTTCACCTGCTGGAGTGTGGCTTGCCTTGGAGTTGCCCCAAGAGCCAATGCTGTTTCAACCTATACATCATGGTGACCAAAAGTCCATAATCCATAAACCACATTTGTGAAAAACAAAATAACATTAACGGACTCATATTTCAAAATATGTGCACAAAATTTTTTTTATTCTGATAATTTTATTGTTTTCTTTACTCATTAAATAATTGATTGACACCGTAAAATTAATAAAGAAATAGTCACACGTAACTTTTAGAAGGAGTATCTAAAAGAGACATATTCATCACAATTTCTCAAAAAGTTTGTCTCTAGTGATGTGAAAAATATTCTAGACCTACCAGATTCATCTGTGTTCTTATATCATCTCTAAGTCTCTTCATCGTGACTCCGGTCACGGTCATCGCATTCCCGACCATCATTCCGGCAACGGGGATGATGTAACGCGGAGTGAAAGGGAATACTTGCATCACTACGAGGAGCAACATAGTGATTGAGGTTCCGGCGAGAATAGAAACTCCGGCGACAAACTTCCCTCGAGGAACATGTTTAGCCCGTTGCCCGGCTGTGAAACCGGCAACGGAGACCTACAATGCCAACAATGTAGTTAGTAAGAGAAGCCAATATGAGATTGAAACTTAAAAGTACCACTTTTTGCTTATAAATATTTGATCAATTTAAAAATGATTTATATTTAAGGGTCATTTAGTTCGCTGATTCAAGTTGAGATGTGACTTTATATAAGAGTTTTTTACTGTAGTAAAAAAGTTAGATGTGATTATTTTTAAGAACTTTTTATTATAGCAAAACTCAAATCGGTTAAATGAAGAGGGAGTAGCCAAAATTTTTTTGATAGAATAGCTAGTCAACTGAATTGATCATCAAATGTATTGAGTAATAAGTTTTGAAGAATATGACACAAACTCTGGAGGCGAATAAAAGATTCTAGGCAATCAACATAAGCAACTATATGACAAGACATGAGCATCAAGAGAGCAACAACTGAATTTTTCATAGATTCTTACTTTAAACGAAGCAACATTTTCTCACCACATAACCCAAAATGGAACTTTCTGAAAACAGAATATAATTGCGTATGACTCACGAACAAACTCGCTAAAAAAAAGTCAGAATTAACTAGATCTAAGCTTTTATTTCTTTCTATTAAAGGGAAGAGAGAGAGAGAAGAGAAGAGAAATTAAATAAAATTGAAACTTCAAAAGCTTGAGGATCTCTGTCTCCCTCTCTCTCTCTTTATACCTCTATCTTCCCTAAGCTTCTGATGATTTGTATTTTTACTTCTATATAAATATATATATATATATATTGACAGTTAAGTCATTTGATTTTATAGAATAATAGAAATTAATTTCAAATTTTAACGGAGTTTAAATTTTCAACAGAATAACCATAATTTATCAAAATTTAATATTTTGATTAAGAATATAATCACTAATTTCTTAGCACTGTTTGTATCCCAAAGTTCTCATTATTTTCGTTTAGACATAAAACTTTGACTCCCACGAACAACTAAGCTGCGAATTTGAGTTGTTAATTTAAAATAAAATGTTGATATTTTAAAAAAAAAATTAATTATAACTAAATAAATTAAATGTAACATTTTTTAATAATTTTTAATTATAAAAATTAAAAATTAAAAATTTAAATCGGTGAAATAAATCAGAATCAAAATCTTATCATCAAAACAAAGAGGAAAAAAATCTAAATACAAAACTGCCAAATCACAGAAAAAATCAAATAAAAGAAAAGGCAGTGAAGAACGATGAGAGAATAGAAAGACACAAACCATGAAAAGGTAAGCGAGAAGGATCCAAGCGACATTGCGTTGCGTGAAAATGAACTGAAGAACAAAGCCAATGATAGAGAGCTGAAGAAACGCCCTGAATATGGCGTAAACCATCTCCCCCTCCAACCCCAGCTTCTGAAAAAACGACAACGCCACCGCCAGAAGAACCACCACCGTCGCCAACGCCGGCTTCACCATCCCCTTCAGAAACTCCACCATAAACGACAAGTCCACACCCCCCATCATCATCGTCGTCGTCATGTGCGCGTGGCCTGTCGTTTCTTCCATTATTGAAATCTGAGTAATGATTGTAAGGTGTGGGCTAGAACGTATGTATATATGGGACGGAGCTAGAAAAATATTAAGTTAGGATCGGACGCATATTAAAAATAAAAATAAAAATAAAAATAAAACTATGGAAAAATTAGATTGAGATGTATCGAGACAAGATAAACACAGAATTTCATAAGGGAAGGCTAATTCATCAGAGTTTACATATCAAAATTAAAATAAAAAATTTCAGACGGAGCGGCTGCTTATCCTTGATATGTTATGTATCTCGACTCATATAATATATATATATATATATATATATATTTATATATCAATTCATGGGTTGGAAGTTAGAAGTAGAAAGAGCCTCCCTTTGAGAATGAACCATCTAGTGGAGTTGTCGACAACTATGTGTACGGAGAGAAATTTTGGGGGGTTAATTAGTTGATTTTTAATAATGTTTTTGGAAACCGACGCGTCGTACGTACGAATGATACGAAATCGGTGTGTGTACTGTGTATGACGAAAGGTTTTCAGTTCTTCACTCACGCGCGCTCTTCGCAGTTCACGGGTCAACAAATAAAAGTGGGACCCACTTGTGTGGGGGTGACGTGGCATGATGCTGTCTGGGGCCCACCAAAATAACAAGAAGTTTTTAGCTGTTTGGATCCTGTTCCGTATTATTGTGCTTTTTGCAGAAGTGGCATTAGTAGACTGTGGCCCGTTTATTATATTGATTTAAATTTAAAATTTAAGATTTTATTTATTTTATTAATTTGAGTTTTATTATAATAAAAAAATTTTAAAAATAGTTACATTTAATTTTTTTATTACAATAAAAAGTTTTTAGATAAAGACATCTCAATTTGAATTAAAAATTTGAATTAGTGATTTAAACGGGCCTTGAGTTTTACTACAGTAAAAAATTATTAGAAACAGTCACATTTAACTTTTTTACTATAGTAAAAAACTCTCAGATAAAGTCACATATCAACTCGAATTAAAAACTTGAATCAGCGATTTAAACGGGTCCCGAGTTTTGCTACGGTAAAAAGTTATTAGAAACAGTCACATTTAACTTTTTTACTATAATAAAAAGTTCTCATATAAAAGTTACATTTCAATTCGAATTAAAAATTTTAATAAGCGAACTAAACGGATGATTCATCATTGGTGTGAGAGAATTAAAACAATTAATTAAATTTGATGGTTTGAAAATATGCCTTGCTAATGTAATTTTTTAATTAGACTAGTTTTTATTGACAATAAAGGTTAAAGTTAAAAACTTTTAGCTTAAAACTACAAAAAATTTTCAGTAAACAAAACATTGCTTCTGCAATTTGCTTTCTCCTGCATTAAATTATCCAAATTTGCAAAATGTTGATGACTAAAAGCTTTCAATAATGACTTTTCAGACACTACAAAGACAATTCCAAAGTTGTCCCTAACCTATTTTCTCCACTAATTTAAGGCAATGCCATTGTTTTCATCAACAAATCAATTTATACCCAAACGACCTCTTAACTTTTTTTTAACATTTTTTTTTTAACTTTCCTTTAAACAAAAGTCAGAAGCCGTTTCCGACAAAGCAAAAGGTCAAAATAATAATAATAATAAATAAATGAGGGGATGTTACAGTAAAATTTTTTTAAAAATAATCATATTTAATTTTTTTACTATAGTAAAAAATTCTCACATAAAATCATATTTTAACTCAAATTAAAAACTCGAATTAACAAAGTAAATGAGCCCGATGTGAGTTACCTTAGTTTTACCAATCCACTCCACATTGTATATTGACCCGACCCGCACATATCTTTTTACATGTTTGCTTTGATTTTGAAATTTATCACTTATATCATGGGTAAAAAGGAGATAAGGTTAGGTTTACACAAGTGGTGATGGTGGAAATGGAAAACTACTAAAAATTAAGATAAGACTTTTTCACTTTTTTTTTGTTTGCTTAAAATAATTAAAAGAAGACTTTTCACATGGAGGTTCTTATTTAATTATAATGGGATTATCATGTGATATAATAACTCTTGGATCCTTATTTAAATTAGTAAACCGCTAGTTGGAATATTCTTGCTCTTTGGTCAAGTTCGTACGGAGGAACAATTCCATAGTGCATTACCCCTAATCTAAATATGCCCTTAATTGACCCCAAACTATAAAATAATACTCTTAATTATCTCCACCACAATTCTCATTTGAGCTTGAGATTGCCCTTTCTTTCTTTTAGGAGTTTATTAATAAATAAACAGAAAGGTTCTTTAAGAAAATTCATTAACTGACAAAAATCACATAAAAAAAAAAAAAGCTCTTATGCTATTGTAAATCTTATTTTATACATATCTACATTCCTAACGGGAAAGACTAGCCTTCAACAAAAGCAAATCAGGATCTCCTCTTTTATTTATTTAATTATTTATTTTTAAACAAAGCTAATTTTAGATCTAATTTCCAAGTGTCCCACCTTTTTTGTCTCCAAACTCAGAATATGACATGCAATAAGTTTTTTCGAATCTTATGAGATCTTGGAAGTACTTGTGTACTTAGGCAGGCTTTAACTAGCCTGAGGTTTGCTTGCCACAAAGGAACGAGTCCTAATCTTGACTAGATTTTACTTTAGTAATAAATAAGTGAAAAATAATTAGATCTAGTTCATTTTATCGATTTAAATTTAAAATTTAAGTTTTATTATAGTAAAAAATTTTCAGAAATAATCACATCTAATTTTTTTTGTTACAGTAAAAAATTATTATATAAAATCACATCTCAACTCGAATTAAAAACTTAAATTAACAAACTAAACGGGCCCTTAATATTATAGACAATTGACAGCTTCAATCACTATTTGTACTTATGTTGCAAACCCACCCAAATTTCCTGATTAATTTTGGATTTTCAAAATTATTTATTATATTTTCTATGGTGTTTTTCTAATAAGACCTTCCATCAATATATTCATTTTTAATCGTTAAATATGACCAAAATAACATTAAAATAAAAGAATATGCACGATAAACGATTTTAAAAAAGAGAGACCTACACATCGTTAATTTTTCATGAACTATCATAAAAAAAACCTACTTTGGAATTGACTTTTACATGTTTTTCCATCCAAATTGATTAAATAACACGGATAGTTAAATACTATTTGGGACATCAACAAAGAATTTGAATCATTGAATCGTTGATTATAGATCTTGGTGCGGCTTCCAATTCAATACTCATGTCTTGAGTGTCTTGGGAACAACTTTGATTTGAAATAAATATGATAAGAATACAATGGTCACGTTCATTTCACCGATTTCAGTTTAGAATTCGAGTTTTGCAACAGTAAAATGCTATCAAAAATAGTCATATTTAATTTTCTTGCTACAGTAAAAAACTCTCACATAAAATCACATCCCAACTTGAATTAAAAACTCAAATCGGCGAACTAAACGGGCCTAATATATATTTGGATTAGAGGTGACCTTATTTGAGCGGATGATATTCTAGGGAAGGATTAATTGGGTAGTTACTTGTCCATTTTCTAGCGGATGATAATTTAGGTGTTTTCTGGTGGAAGGCAATTCCATTTTGCATAAAAGGAGAAAGTCTTATCTTGTTATCAATTACCATAAAAGAAACGTATCTATCATGTATGGCATCACCAAATATTCAAATGTTGCTTGCACATGAAGTTGTAAAGTAGTCCATCAATAGTGTTTCCTCTTTGTCCCAACCCTTTTCTTCTTAGTCCAAAACTTATCAACGGTTATTTTTATACCTTATTTGCATGGATACCTCCCCAATTATTTGAATTTGATAATTTAGTCTCTATTTTTTTTTTGGCAACTAAAAATATTTGCAATTAAGGTCTAATCGAAAATGACGTCTGTTTTTTTTTTTTGACAATTATGATCGTGCGACGCACATGTGAGCGTCTGTTGAGAGAAATTGAAGGTCATTTCTCACCCTTGGAGCGTGCATTGACCCTTAAAATCAAGAGTTATTAATCACGGTTGATTGTGTTTGAACAAATTAAATGACTTTGACATCACTGTAACCGAACAAATAGGGTGAGAAATGACCTTCATTACTTTCAATAGATGCTCACGTGTGTGTCATGTGATCAAAATCGTCAGAAAAACAAACAATGATTTCGATTGGACCTTAATTGCTAAATTTTTAAGTTGAGGGAGTCAATTACCATGAAAAAAAAAGCTTAGGGGCCAACTTGTTAAATTTGAATAAGTAAAGTGGCGTCCGTACAAAAAAAACTATGTTTATTACGTTGGATCTCACGAAAAATAGTGTTTTATTATTTTGGGTAAAAAATATTGTAACTCACCGATTATTAGAAAATAGAAGTTTTGATGATGAGTTATTCTTATGGACAACGTATGATGTTAGATTTGATTAAAATCAAATTAAAATGAAACAATATGTAATAATTAAAATTAATAGAATTTAATTACCATAAAAAATGTTGCCTGGTCAATTTTTTAGTTCAATAGACCATACAGATCTGTTTGATAAATTAATGCCTTGTTCATTTTATCGATTCAAGTTTTCAGTTTTAGATTTATACAGTAAAAAGTTCTCAGAAAATGTCACATCTAACTTTTTTCTACTACAGTGAAAAACTCTCAAAAAATGTCACATCTCAGCTCAAATTAAAAATTCGAATCCAGGAAGTGAACGAAGCCGAAGTATTGAATAAAATTTAGAGTTAGTATATGATATGTTGATAGTGGGTAAATTTATCAAACTTTTCTTATAACAAGGAAATTTTTAATCGGAAAAGCATAACTAGTTAAAACATAACAATATACTTGGCTCAAAAAAAATTTAGTAGATTACCATGATGATAGTATAAAATTTGGTCTCCATATGGTAATGGGCTGAACCTATAGTCCAGTCCACAAATACAGGCCTAGCCCGCTTCAAGTTTCAACATAGCCCATTAAAGGATGAAAACGAAAATATAGTCACTCGTAGGGGTCGATTTTCAAATTCTAAAGTACAACCAGGTCACTCTTAAAAATATCACATTGCAAAACGACAACCACCTTGCTAAGCAGTAGTAGTCACTCACCAGCAAAAAGACCCTGCCGTCGTCTTCCCCGAACTCCAAACCTTCGAAACTTGAAGAAGAAGAAGAAGAAAGTTAGCTCCAAAAATGTCGAAGCTTGGTGGCCTCTTCCGACCTGCGATCAGGTCCAACCTCGCCGCCCGTACGGTCGGAGCAAGTCCCGGCGGCGCCTTCTCCGTCGCTTCTCTCCTGGAACGGCCAAGACATTTCTCGACGGAATCGGAGCCACATGACGCTGCCGTCGATTCATTTCTCAGAACTCAGTCGTCTGGTACGGACTTTCTGCCTCCGAGGGTTTCGAACTTTCCCCGTTGTTAATTTCGTTAGGGCTTATGTTTGTAAGTTTTCTCATTTTCGTTTCAAGTGATTAATTTCGTTTTGTGAGATTAATTGGAACTATGGAATGGAATTAGGAGAAGAGGTTTAGATAGTGCAGGTTTATGTTGCTAAACGTTTCTTATTTTTTTGTTTCGAAAAGATTAATTTCTTTTTTCCGTGAGTAATTATAATTATATCATGGGATTATGAGAGGATTTTTAGGTTGTCTAGGGTTTATGCTGCCAAGGTTTCTTATTTTTCGTTTCAAAAAGATTAAATTTTGCTTTTTTATTGAGTAATCAGAGTTACAATATGGGATTAAGAAAAGAATTTTAGATAGTTTAGGATTTATGTTGCTAAGTTTTCTTAATTTTCGTTTCGAAAAGGTTAAATTTTGCTTTTTTTTTAATAAGTAATCAGAATTATAGCATGGAGTTAATAGAAGATTTTTAGATTGTTTTGGGTTTATGTTCCTTAGGTTTCTTACTTTTCGTTTCAAAAAGATTAATTTTGTTTTTCTATGAGTACACAGAATTATAACATGGGATTAAGAGAAGATTTTTAGATTGCTTGTGACTTTGTGGTTTATATTGCTGAGGTTTCTTATTTTTCGTTTCAAAAGGTTAGTTTTGTTTGTGCTCGACTATTTGGAATTATAGCATGGAGTTAGGAGAGGGTTTCTGGATTTTTTTTAGGGTTATGTTGCTAAGGTGTCTTATTTTTTGTCTCCAAAAGATTAATTTTGTTTTTTGTGTACGATTAATTGGAATTATAGCATGGAACTAAGTGAAGATTTTCTCTAAGATAATAGGGAATTTAGGGAAAGAACTTGTGGAATCTATGAAAATGAGAAGATTAATTTAGTTGTGTGTGATGAATCAGGTTCGGTTTATGGGAGATTGACTGGTATTACTGCAAATACATTGAGGACGGACATTGTCCGTTTACTAGAAGGGTGTGGCGTCACTCTGGAGGATGTAAAAGTTGAGCACAACAGGCTGTATTATCCCATTGCAGTGTATTTTCTTCTCCTTTCTCTTCCATGTAAATTCTCTTATGCTGGGAAAAAAAAGAAAATCATCTTTAGCTTTGATGCAATAAAATTAGTATTTAATTTTATGAGCCCACTTTCTCTGTTGAAAAAGAAAAGTAAAAGCTCTGCTTTAGCTTAATGCAATAAAATTAGTAAATGAGAAGTAAAAAAGTAGAGTTTATAAAGCCTTATTTATGTTTCGATACAAGTTTTAAAGTCTGCAAGCTATAAGCTTTTTGAGCCCTTGACTAGGAGTTCATCTGGAGGACCAAAACTCAAAATGTGCTTAGAGGAACCCGTACTTTACAGGCCTGTAAACTTATGTTTTTAAACAAATCGACATTTTTCCTCCAAAACCATTTTTTTTTTTCTTTTTGCAGCGTAACATGTAGATGAAATATTGACTTATTTTTTTTAATGTTTTTATTGTGTGTCCATGTTTGTTGTTGTTGTGAGCAGGATGGTACATTTCTCCTTTCTTCAGGCCTACAATCAGGCTGGTAGGGAGATTAACAAGAAGGGTGGCATTTACAAATTGGAGAGGGTAATATGCTGTTAGCCATGCATATGTTACGATGTAATTGTTGTTGTTATATACCCAATACACTAGTTTTTATATATCTAATGCTGATTGTTGATTTGTTATACAATTGAAGGCTGGGCAAAGGCAGTGGGATCTTGTTAAGCCTTATGATGGAAAAAGTGTAAGCAAAATATCTCTTGTATGTTTCAAGTTTATCAAAAATCCGGAAAACAGAGAAAAAAAAAAGCGAAATGTCTTATCGTTACTTGAAATTTTAAGATGACTAATTTAGGCATCGTGATTTATTTAGCGCTTCACATTAATGATGTTTTTTCTCCCACTACATGCTAAAGTGATGTTACTTTCGACATGCTGATGTTATCAGGTTTTACTGCAAGGGATTCCTCGAGAAGGAACTTTGGTAGATATAGAACGCTTTCTGTCTGGTTGCCAGTATGATGCATCGTCCATCGATATGTTTATGAGGTTAGTACCAGCTAGATTTGAAATGAGTTACAACTTGTGTTTCATGTTGCTAATGACAATCTTCCAAGGGTTAATTATCTGACATAACTGATGGCCTTGCAGAGCGGCAATCAAAGATAAGTTGGCAACTGTTCGGTTCCCGTCGCAAACCCAAGCAATGAACTGTTTCATAACGAAGAACAAGGGCTACTGCCTGAGTAATCAAGTCTTAGTGCGTGTTCTTCAGTGATGGCGCTTTTTTGTTTCATTGTTTCCATAAAGAGGACATTGCTTCAGGATATAAAATGAAGAAAGGCGTTCGTATGATCAAAACCTGACTTTCATCCAAATCTGGTCTTGATGTAGCATAATTGGACAGTAGTTTGAAAGGATGGGTAGACAATTATTGATTTTTCAGATTTATGGTTTTGCTTTGTTTGGAGAGAATCCTTGCTAGAGCGGTGAATTTAGATGAACTTTTATGGAAGAAAGTTGTCTCCAATACCCCTTGTGCTTTGTTGGGAGATATTGTTTTGTTTCTGCCACATTAAAAGGAAAGAAATTTGATTGGAAATGTTTGCCACCGGATATTCTCTTGAGAACAATATAATATAATAAAAAGTAAACAAAAAGGAAAGAGAAAAATCCAAGATGCTTATGAAAGAAGAAAAGTCAATACTTCAAACGTTTGTACATCTACAAACCTATGAAATTCACTAACTGCCATGAAAGTCTACTATTTTCTTGCACTAACATATGTTCAACTCAAGTGTATGGCTTTGTTTTCTTGACATTACGTATGTACAGTAGTTAACAAGTCACAAGAAAAAGACATCCCACTTGGGCTTCTCCAGTAGAATTTTCTGATCATAAATCCTATATGCCAAGTCTTTGTGCACTTTCCTGCAGCCTATATCCGTCATTGGGCGTCATCGACGATTGGCCTTCATTCACCGGAGTCCCCTCACTGGCCAAGAATCCCTTCGTAGCCGCATTCTTGGCCAGACGGGTATGAGATCGAACCACATTTTGTCCGGTTCTCTTGGTTCTCCTAATTGTTTTCAGAGCCAAAGTTTTCAGTGGAACCATGATATCCAATGGCAGAAGAACCTCTTCCAACTCATGCCAGTCGAGATCTTCGGAGTCACCATCTTCATAGACCACTCTGTACCAGCCCGCTTCTTTGTCGAACTCGGTCACAACACCTGAATAGTACTGCCCTCCGAACAACTTCCGCACTTCCCTCCCTTCCAGCCATTCGCCGATGACTTTTTCTCCGTCGGGTTCTGGAACAGTAATGGCATTACAAGGAGCAGAAGTGTCATTACTTGGGCAAACATCAGGCACCCCATTGATAATGATGGCGGGTTCTCCCGGTATCTCCCAAACCCCGGTCAGAGAAGCATCTGTCTCTCGCTCTTTGCTGGCATTTTCCATTTCTCCAGTCCCACCATTGTTGCTCATTTTGCCTGCAGAAAATTGCACATTTGTTAAGAGTGAGAAATTATGAATACTAAATTCAATAAAACAACAACACAAAAGTATGATCCTCAAAAGCACAAAGCCAAAAAACAAGGTCATAAGCCCACTGATCAAAGCTTATGTTGCTCCAAAAACCATAACCATTGAAAGAAAGATGCATGTTACTCTCAAACTAAGCTACCAACTAATTGCCCAAGAACATCACTATTGGAAGAAAATTACTAGGCAATCTCAATAAAGATTTACAAAGGGGAAAAAAAAAACCCCCACAAAAGTTTGATACTACAGGTTTAATTTTACCCGAGTTTTTTCAAAAAAAAAAAAAAAAACCTTATCTTTTATAAACTTCGAAAAGCATAACCATTCTCAAATTCCCTAACTTTAATTAATGCACGAAACCGCAAAAACCATTCATTCCAAAAAGAATTAAACAATTTCGGCTCTAAGGTTGTTTGAAGTGGGAAAAAAAAAGGTTTTGATTCAAGAAACAAGAATCACTTCACAATTAAAAATCTTCCAAAAATTAATATCGTATTTGGGTTTTGTTTCAACGATGAAAAGCTTACCTTTAAAGATGATGAACGATAAAGAAGTCCAAAATTCCTCTTTATTATTTCCACCAAACCAAAAAGGACGCCTTTTTACCTTGTAGTTTCCATTAAAATGGTTTCTCTCTCTCTTTCCATCCAAATCTGATTAATGATTAATTTTTCGCCGACTCGAGCGTCGTCGTTTAAGCGGCCCGTCTTACAGAAAGAAAGGTGGCTGAAATCAGCTACTCGTCATCCCATTTTAATTGAATATGCTTCAGACCAGTAATAGTGTAATACATCGCCAACTGCTCCCCCGTAATCCAAACAAAAACAAAGAGTATTTGGTACCAGGATTATTGTTACGATTCAATTATAATTCATAATTTATTATAATATTTTTCTCATAAAAATATACATAAATTAAAAATTATTTTAAATTATAATCTTGAATCTGTCAACCAACCCTTGATCTATTTTTAGTCTTATTGCTTGTCGTTGTTTGCTTTCGTTTCAAATGTTATTTCAGCCAGGACATCTATTTCTCGTTTTTTGTTTATAATTGGAAATTTTTTATAATTTCTTTATTTATAAGTTGTATTTTATTTTATAAGTTAAATAATTTCTAAAAATTAAAATTTGTATTATATTATAAAAAATTAAAATGTGTATTATATTATAATAAATATTAATTAAATATTAATACTTTTAGAATTTTAGAATGCAAATTAGTTTTTTCGTTATTCTATGTCGTTTTATCTCTCACTTGTCGTTTTCCCAGTTACCCGTTATTAATCTCCATTGGCGGTAGTATCTATTTCAACGAATAAAAAACAGACTACAAAATTTTCAATCATTACTGTCGTTGCTTACTCATTTGTTGTCGTTTTAATGTTTTCTTCCGACATCTATTTGCCGTTTTCTTCATCTTCGTCGTTTGCCAGTTTCCTGCCCTTTTTTTAATTGTCGTTTCCTAGTTTCACGTTACTTCTATTCGTTGGTGGAAGTTTCCTTCTCTTCTATCTTCGTCAACATCTATTTGAAGAAATAAAATAAAAAAAAGGCTACAAAGTTTTATTTCGTCTTATTCACTTTCGTTGCTTACTCATTTGCTGTCGTTTTAATGTTTTCTTCAGCAAAGACATCTCTTTGTCGTTTTCTCATTTTCCGTCGTTCTCTCGGCCATGAATCCCCTATTGAGATCTTCCCCCTTCATTGGCCGTAGTTTCCTTCAATCAAACATGGAAGAAATGAACAAAAAAAGAAAACATGAACAATAATACTCGATTGATCTCTTCGTCGTTTTATTCGTTGTCGTTATTTACTCTTTTGCTGTCATTTTAATGTTTTCTTCAGCGAAAGATGTCTATACGTAATTTTCTTCATCTTCGTCGTTTTCTATTTTTCTGTCGTTTTCCCACTCAAATGTCGTTTCCCAGTTTCCCGCTTCATTGGCGGTGGTTGCCGTTCCCTTTCATCAACATCTACATCTATTTGAAGAAAAAAAAAAAAAAAACAGAGAACAAAATTTTCTCCAAAAAGTTTTCCTTCTTGTCTCCGAAACCAAATGAATGAGATTCACAAACCAACTGAGAATTCAAGCACAATCCCATTCCTCCAATGGCTTCCTTCATCGAGCCATTCAACCTCTTTACTCCAACAATCCCCTCGATTGCGGCGCTTATGGCCGCCTCATCCAGCACTGTACGGACCGCCGCTTGCTCCGCCAGGGAAAGCAGCTCCACGCCCGCCTCGTCGTCTCCTCTGTCGTACCTGGAAACTTCCTCGCCTCGAAACTCATAGGCTTCTACTCTAAATCCGATTGTATTGATTATGCACGCCAGGTGTTCGACCAAATTCCCCACAGAAACACTTTCTCTTGGAACGCCATGCTCATTGCCTATTCGCTTCATGGCCTGCAATTCGACGCACTGAATCTGTTTTCGTCACTGGTATCATCGCGATCGAGCGGTGTTAAGGCTGATAATTTTACGGTCACCTGTGTCATGAAGGCGTTGGCGGAGTTGTTTTCAGATTCGAGATTGGCTAAGGAGGTTCATTGCTATGTTGTCCGACACGGGTTTGATTTGGATATCTTTGTTGTTAATGCTCTTGTTACGTGTTACGCTAGATGTGATGAGCTTGGTGTTGCGCGGGTTTTTTTTGATAGGATGCCGGAGAGAGACATAGTTTCGTGGAATTCGATGATTTCTGGGTATTCTCAAGGTGGGCTTTACTTGGAGTGCAAAAAATTGTACAGGGAGATGTTGGGGTTGAAAGAGTTGAGGCCTAACGCGGTGACGGTACTCAGTGTCTTGCAGGCGTGTGGGCAGTCCAAGGATCTTGTTTTCGGGATTGAAGTTCACCGCTTTATGAATGAGAATCGAATCAAGATGGATATTTCGCTTTGTAATGCGCTTGTTGCATTGTATGCAAAATGCGGTAGCTTGGATTATGCTCGCGAGTTTTTTGAAGGTTTGAAAGAGAAGGATGAGGTCACTTATGGGTCGATGATTTCAGGATATATGGCTTACGGATTTTTCGACAATGCCATGGATCTTTTTGACAAAGTTAAGAAATCAGGACTAAGCACATGGAATGCTGTGATATCGGGTCTCCTTCAAAACAACCAGCATGAAAGAGTCTTGGATTTATTTCTTGCAATGCAAGCAAGTGGCTTTAGACCGAACACAGTAACACTTTCAAGTGTTCTCCCAACAATTTCGCATTTTTCGTATCTAAAAGGAGGTAAAGAAATACATGCTTATGCTCTTAGAAGCAGTTATGATCAGAATATCTATGTTTCAACTGCTATTATCGATGCTTATGCAAAGTCTGGGTATCTTCACGGGGCGCGGAGGGTTTTTGATCAATCGAGAGGGAGGAGCTTGATCATTTGGACTGCAATAATCTCGGCATATGCAGCGCATGGAGATGTTGAGACATCTCTTCATCTTTTTGATGAGATGGTGAATAATGGGATTCGGCCAGACGAAGTAACATTTACGGCAGTGTTAACATCTTGCGCTCATTGCGGATTGGTGGATGAAGCTCGGAAGATATTTGATTCTATGCTGCCACAATATGGAATTCATCCCTCCATGGAGCATTACGCTTGCGTGGTGACTGCTCTTAGCCGAGCTGGGAGACTCTCCGAAGCAACTGAATTCATTTCGAAATTGCCAGTTGAGCCAAGTGCTAAAGTGTGGGGTGCATTGCTTAATGGGGCATCGGTTTCTGGCGATGTTGAACTGGGGAAAGTTGTTTACGATCGCTTGTCTGACATTGAGCCCGAGAACACCGGAAACTATGTCATTATGGCTAATTTGTATTCGCAAGCTGGGAGATGCGAGGAAGCTGATGAGGTCAGGGAAAGAATGAACAAAATTGGGTTGAAAAAGCTCGCAGGCAGTAGCTGGATCGAGACAAATGGTGGATTAGGAAGTTGTATAGTTAGTGAATGTAACAAATAGGGGAAACTAGGAGTTTTAATGAAGATGGTGTTTATATTTGATACTAAAGAAGGTACATCTAATCAGGAATACTGAAGGCCATGTACTATGCATTGAAAAGATCCTTTTAACTAAAAAGTGGCACATGGAAGAAATGCAGGGACCAAAGCGAGTGAGCAAGCTTGAGTCATGCGAAAATGGCCGTTGGGAATTAATCGAGTTCTTCGTTTGCTACCGAGGATTATGTTGACGAGACTACTGGTTGAAAAAACGTTTAAGCTCCATGCCGTCTTTGTTTACAAGCTTTAAAAGTTGGCACATTTGGGATTATAAATGCTCATTTCACAACTTGAATCACAAGTCAAACTTTTTGGATACAGTGTTTTCTCTCACAAAAATTTAAATTCAAATTCTTTGCTACAATATTTTTTCTCACATAAAATTCACTTTACAATTCCAATTCTCTTAACTCAAGTTGTGAAAGGAAAAGTTTGACTTTCATTCTTTAGAACACATTCTATGTGAATATAAAAGTTGTATGTGATCATGTATATAACTTTCTACTTGATGCTCTCATGTACCACAAATTGTCTATTATTTGAAGAAGATGATCCAACATGACAAACACAAACGCTCCTTGTAAAGATGTTAAAGAGGGTCCATCTAAATGATGATCAATGATCTTGTTAAAACCCCTTTGTTACACACACATAAGGGAATTTCTTACCAACAAAGAATTGCCAACTCATATTTGTTTTTAGGTGCAGTGAAGTGCAAGCCAATTTTAGAAACCCCCCACAAGGCAGTAATATAATGTTGCATGAGGGGATTCAATAATTTCCGTCCTCACATCAAAGCATATGCAATTAGGAACCATCATTGCTTCTTGGCCTACATCACTAAACAGTCTAAGGGTGTTCGCGTCGGTTTGGACAGTTTTTTTTTTTTTTTTTTTTTTTTTT